TGAAATTTTTAATAAAATTTTAAAAACAGAACTTGACTCTCTCTCTCTCTCTTATATAAAATATATTTTATTTTTTGATAAAGTATCATTAACCTCCCTTTTAGTAGCCATCAACACACATAAATAAACAAAGGTAAATATGTATTTTAGTAGAAAAGACATAACAATATTATTTTTCATCATTTATCAAATGTTATATAAATTAAAACCTCAAAGGAGATTGGTGTAATTATGTCAAAAATATGAGACTAAAGTGTATTTTTTTCCAAATCTCAAGAAAAACTAGTGTAATTTACTCCTTATTTGTTGATAAAATACCATTACCCTTGATGTTTGCGTAAAATAAATGTTATCCATTGTAATTTTAAAAATAACCATTAGCCTTTGTTAGAGTTTGTCTATTAAAGCAATTAACATAAATGAGAAAATGACATTATATACCTTCCATTCTTAAGAAAAATTACTATTGCTCTCTCAACAACCATGTCGTCCCTCTCCCGACCCTCAACTACCACAAATCCCATACCTCATCCGCTAGGAAATTGAGTTCAAGATTAATCCCACAACAACGTTCTAAAATCACAACAACAAACTGACTTCGCAACAAATATACAAATTACAAGGATGAAATGGGTATTTTAACAAGTTACACTGTTGATGTCAACATAAATTGTCAAGTCAATAGAGTGCAGCCCAATTGCTTTGAGTTGAGTGAGCTAATAAAATTAAGACTTGCATTCTGGATCAAGGCCTCACTATACGGGATTTTTCTATGATACATGAAGGTGGTTTTTATGTACCATACATAAATAATTTTGGATCGTTAGATTTAAAAGTAAAATAAATCTAACCATTGATTGGTAATAATTAAAACTAGGATAAGAAATCTAGGTAGTTTCGTAAAAAAAAGGTAGTTTTCAATGATTTTGAAACCAAAAAGTGGTTTTCAACTTACCACAACAACTAAGTATACTTACTATTTAATGTGATTATACTTACTATTTTTAATAACTATACTTACCATTCAATTATTGATAAAATACACTTAACCTGCTATTCAGGTAACAAGTAAACTTAAAAAATTAAGTTATAATAAATTTTCAAAATCTCTAAAATAAATATAAAATTTATAAAATAGAATTTAAGAAAAAAATATACAAAATAAATTTGAATTCTAAACATTTTATTATAATTTATTACATTTTATGAAATATGATTTTTTATTTATTTATCTACTTAATAGCAATAAATGAAACCTAATTTCCTTCTCATTTATCACACTTGAAAATAATAAATGCAATTAATGAAGAAATATAATTAATAAAATATAGAAAAATTTATAATTTATTTGAGGATTCCATAAACAAAATTTGATATTCATTTCTAGCACTTTCAAAGATTTTAAGATAAAATTGTTGTTGATTTGGAACTCCTCAGGTAAGTCTCTCTCTTTTACTTTCACTTCTATTATATTTTGAATTTATAAATTTTTATGTTTTGTTGGAACAACATTTCACCTAATTAAAAGAAAAATTATGAGATTCAAGTAGTAAGGGGGAAAAAAAAAAAATCAAGTTTGATGAAATAGTAAATGTAGTCTTAAGTTTAGTTTAAATGATTGATAAGTCAAGGATGTTCATTTCTAAAACTTTCGAAGATTTTAAGATAGAATTGTTGTTGATTTGGAACTCCTTAGGTAAGTCTCTCTCTTTTTACTTTCACTTCCATTATATTTTGAATTTATAAATTTTTATGTTTTGTTGGAATAAGTCAAGTCTGATGAAATAGTAAATCCAGTCTCATTGACTAGTAAGTATGGTTTAAATGACCGATAAGTCAAGTTTGATAAAGTAGTAAGTATAATCTCATTGAATAGTAAGTGTGGCTTAAATGAGTAGTAAGTCAAGTCTGATAAAGTAGTAAGGATAGTCTCATTGAGTAGTAAGTGTGATTCAAATGAGTGGTAAGTCAAGTCTGATGAAATAGTAAATCCAGTCTCATTGACTAGTAAGTATGGTTTAAATGACCGATAAGTCAAGTTTGATAAAGTAGTAAGTATAATCTCATTGAATAGTAAGTGTGGCTTAAATGAGTAGTAAGTCAAGTCTGATAAAGTAGTAAGGATAGTCTCATTGAGTAGTAAGTGTGATTCAAATGAGTGGTAAGTCAAGTCTGATGAAATAGTAAATCCAGTCTCATTGACTAGTAAGTATGGTTTAAATGACCGATAAGTCAAGTTTGATAAAGTAGTAAGTAGAGTTTCATTGAGTAGTAAGTGTGATTCTGATAAAGTAGTAAGTATAGTCTCATTGAGTAGTAAGTGTGATTCAAATGAGTGGTAAGTCAAGTCTGATGAAATAGTAAATCCAGTCTCATTGACTAGTAAGTATGGTTTAAATGACCGATAAGTCAAGTTTGATAAAGTAGTAAGTAGAGTTTCATTGAGTAGTAAGTGTGATTCTGATAAAGTAGTAAGTATAGTCTCATTGAGTAGTAAGTGTGATTCAAATGAGTGGTAAGTCAAGTCTGATGAAATAGTAAATCCTGGTTTAAATGAGTGGTAAGTCAAGTCTGATAAAATAGTAAGTACAGTCTCATTGACTAGTAAATGTGGTTTAAATGGCTGATAAGTCAAATTTAATAAAGTAATAAATAGAGTCTCATTTTATGAAATATGATTTTTTTATTTATTCCTTCTCATTCTACTTGCAACTCTTTGGGTCTCAACTTACCACTTACCATCTATTTTACCTCATAGTATTGTACTTACCATTTTTTACTTGCTTTTTATTAATTAATTTATTTACACGTATTGTAGATGGAAGACAACATTGAGCAAAACAAGAATAACATTATATATGAACTAGATGATGATAACGGTAATGATAGTGAGTATAATATTCATAATGAAGATGATATTGTCAATTCTAATGATATTCCAACTGAAAGAGATATTATGAATAACTTTTTGGTTTTTTTATGAGAGAAAAAGGGAAATGATTATACTTTGAATGTGACATTTTGTCTTATTAGCTTATTTAGTCTTATTAGCTTATTTAGTCTGTTTTTTTCTTTTTGTGTTTTTTAAGTCCCAACCTTAAACCACTTGCCAAACGACAATTAAGTAGTAAGTGAGATTTAATTAAATAGTAAGTTAAGTCCAATTAAGTGGTGCCTTATTGAGTAGTAAGTCATAGTTGATTGAGTAATAAATGAAGTTTGATTGAGTAGTAGTGGTGATATGGTGGTGGTGGTGGTGGTGGTAGCGGTGGTAGCGGTCTGGTGTGGCAGTAGTGGCATGGTAGCGTTGATGGTAGTGGGATTGGTGGTGATGGTGGTAGAGGTAGCAATGGTAGTGGTAGTTTATGGAAGCAATGACAATGTTGATGAAGGTGGTGGTGGTAGTAGTAGTAGCATGGTGGTGGTGGTGGTGGTAGTGGCGATAGTAGTGGTGGTGGTGGTGGTGGTGGCGGTGGTGATAGTAATAGCGGTTGAGTAGTTAAGTCATGTAAATTATTTTTATTTATAAAATGATATCACATTGCTTAATGTTTGAGTAAGTTATGAGTAATATTATTTTGTGATTATGTTTCAAAATTACTTCTTTAGTTTGATTTGATTTTAAGATTTTTATAATTTCATTCTAAATTTTATAACAATACTTACAACTAATTAAGAGGTCTCATTAAATAGTAAGTAAAGTTTGATTTAATAGTAAGTGGGTTCTCATTAAGTAGTAAATTAAGTATAATGAAGTAGTAAGTAGAGTCTCATTGAAGAATATGTGGTTTGACTGTATAATAAATGAAATTTGATGGAGTAGTAAGTGAAATCTCATTGAGTAGTAAACCAGATTTGGTGATATAGTAGGTGAACATGTAAACTTAATTACAATTAATTGTGACAATACTTACTACTTATTATAACAACACTTACAACTAACTGAAAAGTCTCATTGAGTTGTAAGTGGGGTTTGATTTAATAGTAAGTGGAGTCTCATTGAGTAGTAAGTGAAGTATGATGCAGTAGAAAGTAAAGTCTCATTGAGAAATGTGGGGTTTGATTGTGTAGTAAGTAGAGTTTGATGGAATAGTAAGTAGAGTCTCAATGAATACTAGTCAGATTTGATGAAATAGTAAGTGAACATGTAAACATAGTTACAACTAGTTTTAACAATACTTATTACTTATTATAACAAAACTTACAACTAATTGACGTGTTATTGAGTAGTAAGTGGGATTTGATTTAATTGAGTAGTAAGTAAAGTATGGTGGAGTAGTAAGTAGAGTCTCAACGAGGAATGTGGCGTCTGACTATGTAGTAAGTGAAGTTTGATGGAGTAGTAAGTCAAATTTGATAAAATAATAAGTGAACATGCAAACTTAGTTATAACTAATTGTGACAATACTTACTACTTATTATAACAATATTTACAACTAATTAAGAGGCGTTATTGAGTGGTAAGTGAGGTTTGATTTAACAGTAAGTGAGGTTTCATTAAGTAGTAAGTATGGAATAATAAGTCAAGTCTAATAAAATAATAAGTGTGGTTTAAATAATTAATAAGTTAAACATAATGGAATAGTAAGTGCAGTTTTATTGAGTAGTAAATAGAATGTTATTAAGTACTAACCATTACTGAACACAATACTTACCATTCATTGTACTTACACTTATCACTTAATGTGACTCTATTTACAATCACTACCCCTTCCAACCACCACCTACCACCTCCACCATTACCCTACCACTACCTCCACTACCACCACCACTACTTTTTTTACCACCACCTCAAATCTAATGATAAGATGACTTTACTTTTTTTAAAAAAAAATATTTATCAGCAAAGAGAAAAAAGAGTTTATTGATGTAAAAGCCAAACAGGTACTTCACTAAAAGAAAGAACAACGAAATTGCCTCAGTGCTGGACAAGAATAACAATTCTAGCACTGTCAAGCAAAACCAGGCCACAAAAGAAAAATGGAAAAAAGATCTTCGAGTTGGAAAAAAGAGATTTAACTCTTTCTTTTTCTTTTCTTTTTTTCAAAAATCTAAACAAAAACAACTACAACAGGAAAAGACGAAACAAATTCAGGTGAAAACAAAGCCAGAAATTACAATGACAATCAACTAAAAGAGATAAAATAAAGAAAAAAAAATATAACATGGTGATTTCTTCATTCCTTTTCTCCTATATTCATCATCAACCAAATTAAGAAAATAAAAAATTAAATTACAAGTGAGAAACAAAGTCAGAACTACAATGATGAATGAAGGCAAATCTTTTGCTGCCGGCGACACTAATTTGGAAAATCCTTTCCGGAAACTTTAGATTTACCTGAAATAAGGCCTGAATCGCTGTAAAAAGAAGGGGAAAAATAATTAAAAAAAACACTCAAGTGAAAAAAACACCAAACCAAGAGAGAGAAACACAAATCTGAGAAGACTATAACCCTATCACTTTGCCAATCTCTTACCACATGTAAATCCATACGTGTACTCATCTATGTTTACAAATGTGTGTAAATATATATTATATACATTTATGATTTTAATGGTGAATAGGCATTAAGCCCCAAATCAAAGCTTCAGTATATATATATTATATGTATAATTTTAGTGGTGATTAGGTTCTCAGATTTATTCACCTTCTCTTCGTCGTTCGTTTTCTCTCTCGCCGAGTGCGGTGGAGAACTCCCGTCCGACGAGGTGCTCTCTGTCTCTTGGTTCGGTGCTTTTGCGGTCTTCTCTCTGTTCACTTCGTCCTCTCTCTCTCTCTCTCTCTCTCTCTCCTGTTTCAGTGCTTTGATTTAGGCCTGTGACCGGTTGCGACCGGTTGGATCTATGTGATTTTGGATGGTCAAGATTTAAGATTTTGATCTAAAGGTTGAAAATCATTTTCATGTATGGTACCCAAATGCTACTTTTGGGCACCATAGTTGGACCCGGAGTTCGACTATGGTACCCAAAAGTGGTATTTGGGTACCATACATCATTTTTCAATACATAACTCAAATAAAAATCCATCGTATCTTCCCAAACACAAAAACTAAAATAGCCTACTAAAGTAGCCAAAAAGCCTCTAAAACAGCCACTTCCCAAACACCCACTTTGCCTCTATTATGTTTTGTGTCTCATTCGCTCTCTACAGTAGACCTACCTATAGTGTTCTTTTTCTTTTTTTTTTTTTTTTTTTTTTGAACGAGTTTTGTTCTGCTGACTCTCTATATACTCTCTTTTCTTTCTATACTGTGTGAGGCTTTCTTCAAACCCTTCTCTCTCACACCCCACCGGCCTGTTGTCGCCTCGCTCCCATTGTTCCACCACTACCGGCGCAACCTCCGAAGCTTTGCTCAATGGCTTCCTCGGATAAAAACAAGAAGAAAAGGGTTTGCTTTCTATACTCTTTTTTTTTCTTTTTCTTTTTTTCTGAACCTTTAGACTTCTTCATGGCTCTTGGAGTGAATGTGCATATTTATAGATTGGTTTGCCTAATCCAATACAATGAGCAGTGAATATGCATATGAACAAAAAAAAAATAAATAAATAAATTTTGCAACCTCAAGGTATTTGGATTGTCTATATCCTTCTTTTGAACATACCCAACTCGTTGATATAACCATATTATTCTTGTCCTTATACAATTGATCCCTTCGAATACTAAAGCCTTTCACCTTAGCATACGAATTATAAAATCTTTCTCCGTTTTCTTCTGAATCAAATGTCATTTCAAACACATCCTTTTCAGTTAATTCATCTAGACGCTTAATATCTCTTTCGATTGGAATATTATTAGAATTGACGATATTATCTTCGTTATGAATATTATACTCACCATCATTACCGTCATCATCAACTAGTTCATATATAATGTTATTCTTGTTTTGCTCAGTGTTGTCTTCCATCTGCAATAAGCATAAACAAATTAATTAAGAAAAAGCAAGTAGAAAATGGTAAGTAAAATACTAGGTGGTAAAATAGATGGTAAGTTGAGTCACAAAGAGTTTCTAGTAGAATGAGAATGAATGGCAAGTGTTGTGTTTTTGAATGATAATTAAACTCATTTAAATCACACTTACTACTCAATGAGACTGTACTTACTACTTTATCAGAATTACACTTACTACTCAATGAGACTCTACTTACTACTTTATCAAACTTGACTTATCATCCATTTAAACCACACTTACTAGTCAATGAGACTGTACTTACTATTTCATCAGACTTGACTCGCCACTCATTTAAACCATACTTAATACTTTATTAGACTTGACTTACCACTCATTTGAATCACATTTACTATTCCATGAGACTCTACTTACTACTTTATCAAACTTGACTTATCAGTCATTTAAACAACGCTTACTACTTAATAAGACTTTACTTATTATTTTATCAGACTTAACTCATTTAAACCACACTTACTACTCTATCAGAATTACACTTACTACTCAATAGGACTCTACTTACTACTTTATCAAACTTGACTTATCAGCTATTTAAACCACACTTACTAGTCAATGAGACTGTACTTACTATTTCATCAGACTTGACTCACCACTCATTTAAACCATACCTACTACTCAATACTTGGCTTACCACTCATTTAAACCATACTTACTACTTTATCAGACTTGACTTACCACTCATTTGAATTACACTTACTACTCAATGAGACTATCTTTACTACTTTATCAGACTTGATTTACTACTCATTTAAGCCACACTTACTACTCAATAAGATTATACTTACTACTTTATCAAACTTGACTTATCACTCATTTAAACAATACTTACTGAATGAGACTCTACTTACTGTTTTATTAGACTTGACTTATCAATCATTTAAACTAAATTTAAGACTACATTTACTATTTCATCAAACTTGATTTTTTTTTTTCTTACCACTTGAATCTCAAAATTTTTCTTTTAACTAACTGAAATATTATTCCAACAAAACATAAAAATTTATAAATTCAAAATATAATGGAAGTGAAAGTAAAAAGAGAGAGACTTACCTAAGGAGTTCCAAATCAACAACAATTCTATCTTAAAATCTCCGAAAGTTTTAGAAATGAACATCATTGACTTATCAATCATTTAAACTAAACTTAAGACTACATTTACTACTTCATCAAACTTGATTTTTTTTTTTTTCCCTTACTACTTGAATCTCATAATTTTTCTTTTAATTAGGTGAAATGTTGTTCCAACAAAACATAAAAATTTATAAATTCAAAATATAATGGAAGTGAAAGTAAAAAGAGAGAGACTTACCTAAGGAGTCCCAAATCAACAACAATTTTATCTTAAAATCTTCGAAAATGTTAGAAATGAACATCAAATTTTGTTTATGGAATCCTCAAATGAATTTGAAATTTTTCTATATTTTGTTAATCATATTTCTCATTAATTGCATTTATTGTGGTAGATGAAAAAGATACTAGGTTTCATTTATTGCCATTCATTGCCATTAAGTACATAAATAAATAAATAAAATCATATTCCATAAAATGTAAAAAATTATAATAAAATTTATAAATTTCATATTTATTTTGTATATATATATTTTTTTTGTTTACATTCTATTTTATAAATTTTATATTTATTTTAGAGGTTAGGTGCATTTTATTAATGTTTGAATGGTAAGTGTAGTTATGTGGAATAATTACAACTATATCAAGTAGTAAATGTGTTTTGTTGTTGTAATAAATTGAAAAACACTAATTTAAACCATACTTACTATTTTATCAAACTTACTTACCACTCATTTAAACCACATTTACTACTCAATGAGACTCTACTTATTATTTTGTCAGACTTGACTTACTACTCATTTAAATAGCACTTACTACTCAATGAGACTCTATTTACTACTTTATTAAACTTGACTCATCACTTAAATAACACTTACTACTCAATTAGACTCTACTTACTACTTTATCAAACTTGACTCATCATTTAAACAATACTTACTACTCAATGGGACTTTACTTACTATTTTAGTAGACTTGATTAATTAATTATTTAAACTAAACTTAAGATTGCACTTACTATTTCATCAAACTTGATTTTTTTTTTTTTTTACTACTTAAATCTCATAATTTTTCTTTTAACTAGGTTAAATGTTGTTCCAACAAAATATTAAAATTTAAATTCAAAAGTTCATGGAACCCTCAAATAAATTATAATTTTTTCTATATTTTATCACTTATATTTCTTTATTAATTGCATTTATTATTTTCAAGTGTGATAAATGAAAAGGAAATTAGGTTTCATTTATTGCTATTAAGTAGATAAATAAATAAAAAATCATATTTCATAAAATGTAATAAATTATAATAAAATGTTTAGAATTCAAATTTATTTTGTTTATTTTTTTCTTAAATTCTATTTTATAAATTTTATATTTATTTTAGAGATTTTGAAAATTTATTATAACTTAATTTTTTAAGTTTACCTGTTACTTGAATAGCAGGTTAAGTGTATTTTATCAATAAGTGTATTTTATCAGTAATTGAATGGTAAGTATAGTTATTAATAATAGTATAATCACATCAAATAGTAAGTATACTTAGTTATTGTAGTAAGTTAAAAACCACTTTTTGGTTTCAAAACCATTAAAAACTACCTTATTTTTTATGAAACTACCTAGATTTCTTAACCTGATTTTATTATTATCAATCAATGGTTAGATTTAGTTTACTTTTAGATCTAATGGTCCAAAATTATTTATGTATGATACATGAAAATCACCATTATGTATCATAGAAAAATCCCAGTATACGACTTCCATTACTCAGTGAGTGATTTATGTGAGGGTCTGCCTCTGAGAGTGACAAGGCTACTTTAATATTCAATCTTAGTCATGTAAGGGTCTGCCTCTGGAGTCCGGATCCTCTCCGGCTGAAATCTCCGTCCGTCCCTCCGGGCGACGGATGAGATTTAGCCACGTCTCAGATTTGTTTCAAACCAAATCTCTCTCTTCTTCCACACTCTCTCTCCGTCCACTCACCAGTACACACTCTCTCTCTCCGTCCCTTTCTCACGGACACATACACTCACTCACACTCTCACTCACTCACTCACTCTCTCTCTCTCTCTCTCTCTCTCTCTCATTTCTAGCATACATAGGCTTCAATTACACATGTACATTTTGTAATTCACGCAAACAATAAGGAAGAGGAAGAACAAAGCAACCATGTCTGTTTTAAGGAGATCTCTTATTATGGGTTTAATAAGGTTTGGATTTGTTGTTTTCATCATGGTTTCATCATTGGCATCAAGAGGAGAGTGCGCTCGAGCAATCAAGGAAAGCAGAGATTTCAAGAGCTTGTACGAAAACGAGTTTCCTAGAGGGCCCGTGCCGCCTTCTGGGCCATCCCCATGCCATAACAGCCTCGGCCCTTATCAGCACAACCAGCTCTCTAACCCTCAGAGCTACATCATTTGTCCATGAACATTTATTTACCCACCCAATTTTTATTTGTTTATTTATTTTAGTTTTGATTTACTTTGCCATTTGCACTGATTAGATTTGTGTGTTTTTTTTTTTATTTCCTTTAAAAAAAATTATAAACCCGTTTGGTTAATAAAATTAAATTAAAAGTCATTATTTTTATATGTTTTTTTTTTTGGAATGAAGATTGTTTTTTAGAATTTCAAAAATATATGATTTTTGTGTGTTTATTTCATCAAATTAATAAAATTAAATTAAAAGTCATTATTTTTATATGTTTTTTTTTTTGGAATGAAGATTGTTTTTTAGAATTTCAAAAATATATGATTTTTGTGTGTTTATTTCATCAAATTAATAAAATTAAATTAAAAGTCATTATTTTTATATGTTTTTTTTTTTGGAATGAAATTGTTTTTTAGAATTTCAAAAATATATGATTTTTGTGTGTTTATTTCATCAAATTAATAAAATTAAATTAAAAG